GTTGGGAGGCCTGTTCTCTGGGGGCTGGCGTATCAGGTAGAAAGAAATAGTTTGGAGATCTCTGAAATCATAGGCTGGAAATTTTTCATGTTTCGTGACTTGCCAATGCGTATAAGCAGTGGCCAGGCTGTAAGCAACACTTTTGTAAAGTTCTGCTTCAACTGTTCATGATGTTCTAGAATAAAATTTTACGCTCAGCTTATGCAAATGAGAACAACCGAATATAAATTACCTTTTTATCAATGCGTTCAAACTTAATTATAACATAACCAAAGTAAAGCGCGCGCTCTGATTGGTCAATTTAGCGTCCCCCATTTGCCCATGGGTGTACGCTGCTGACGTGAGCAAATGCAAAGACTATTTTTCCGCGCGCGCTTGTTTTTTCTGGTCGCGTAAGATTTGTTAAATAAAAGGGAACTCTTTAGCTACAATGTATCAATGTTATGTTATAAAACAAATGGTAAACACCACAGCGTACACTATTGAGTTATGGATGCACTTGGGAGGTTTGCTAAGCACTCAAGAAGCTAGAGTCGCTCTCGGCTATCGCCTCGAGCGACTCTTACGCTTCTTTCGTGCTTAGCAACCTCCCGCGTGCATCCATAACTCAATAGTGTACGCTGTGGTGTTTACCATTTGTTAATTTTTTATTATTAATATTTTATTTTACCCTCAGTTTGTATTTTAACCCTGGTCTGCAGTCTGTATTTTACCCCTGGTCTGCATTCCGCAGTCTGCATTTTACCCTCAGTCTGCATTTTACCCCTGGTCCGCAGTCTGCGTTTTACACTGACCGATTTACTAAGTGTTGTATCCAGTACAGGACAAAACCCTTCAACCGGGTGATCAAACCCAGAGGTCCATGGCAAGTTTAGAGTATGATGTATATAAATACATGTGAAAAAAAAAACAGTTAAACAGAGAGTCAGCTTTTGACAACCTTGAATTGCAACTGTTAATCGAGGTTTATTTTTGCTATAGAAACATCCTTAGGTGCCAAATAAAAAGCGTGTTGAGAAAGTTAACTAAGTCTTCACAAAATGTACATTATTAAATAATTCCTAATAATTAAAGCTAGAATGCCAAATAAATAAGATACAAAAACAAAATTCAAACCTTGGAACCCAATATCACACAGCTTCCATCATTCAAATTCGAACGAAACTGAAGTTCGAGACGGGAACTGGAAATGTCAAAATCATAGCAGGGGAGTAGGGTGGGGAGGTTTCGAAGGGACGGGTAAAAACTAAACGAAGGCAGTAGCAATCAGTAGTAACCTATCTTCTTTATGCCATATTTACCATTATTTCCTTTAGTAATGGTTAAAGCTGTGGTCGAACGGATTAGTTATTTCAGAGAAAATCAAAGAAAACTGTTACCGTAACGCTGTGGACACTGATTAGTTATTATGATTCTCATATGCATCAGTACATCCTTGGTGGAGGTAGAACACAAAAGTGCTTGAAAGATCCAAACAAGTTCGTTCGTTATCGCCGTTAGTTCGTTACGCTCGTTGGAGGTAGCAGTTCGTTCGTAAATCACAGCTCAAAGTCGCATCCAGTGCAGCCTAATAAACGCAACAAAAATTATAAGGCTAGTCCTTAAATTCACACTTTTCTTATTTAAATTTTTGTGTTTTGTAACTTTCTGTTTTGGTTTTGACCGCACTTAAAATGATTCAACCGTTAAATAGAGTCACCACGAGGGCATAGCATTGAATAAAGCGTTTTGAAATTTTCTTTCTGGAAATTTCCTTCATTAGCACTTACTAGTAGTACAATACTAGTCGATATATTCTTCCATGAACATTACCACAGTGTGTTCTTTTCCGTCACCATTAATATAGAATCATTTAAAGCAAGCAGAGTTAAGTAGTTTGACCACACAGCATGGTGTGTTTTGAGTACAACGCTCTTGTGATTCTTTTATTGCTTGAGGCAACGGTGTCGCACTTAAGATGTTATGCAACATTAAATTTTTGACAAATATAAATCAAGAATAAGCATAAGAGATGGCGTTGTGCATTATGTTTCTGACACAGAGTCACCACGCACGACATTTCATCCCTCCATTTTGTCGCCTCTGATCGTTCATACCCGTGGGCATTTTCAAGTTAGTCGTTACCTAAAATATGTCGCAGTTCATGTTTTAGCATTTTGCACCTTAGTGGGCCCAATGAAGTGCGTTCTTCAAGCTTTATTTCCGTATTCTGACCATCTTCTAATAACAGCCGTCACCCAAACAATCCCTTTTAGATCTATGACGGTGATAAATATTGGCAACTTCTGACAATTAAAAACTGTAAAGTAAAGTGTTCTACTGACGTCATTTTACTGGGTTTATGCTCACTGTGTTTATGCTCATTGTGTTTATGCTCACTGTGTTAAAAAAAAGACCCTCCACTACGCCGGCTAAATTTCCTCTAGGAACCAGTCATTATTTAATATCTAACGCCTGGAGGTGGGGGGGGGGGGGTTGGAGGGATCTTTGGGGGGTTCACATGGTTTTCAGGGGGAACCAGTCGTCGCTAATAGTTTACTAAGAGGAAACGTTCATGTAGAAAGGAATGCTGTTGAGGAGGGGTCAATACGATATTTCAGAGCCTTTAGGGGGATCAGGTGATTCTATCGTGACACAGCCAAAATCCTACGTCCCCCCCCCCCTCCTAGGCGATAGATAATGGCCGGTAGTGGCCCAATCACATGCTTGCAATTCCAAAGTTTCTTTTAATAAATATAATGCCATTGAAAAAGGAAGTGTTGCAACTGGATTCCTTTTTAACAAAACGCCCAACCTGAATGTTGACAGAGCCATGATCTGTACGGTAACCTGAACTTGGACAAGAGAACATTGGCTGACGATCTCTCGGCTTTGACTTATTATTTGTCAGAGGAAAGAAAGACCTCTTACTCAAAAAACAAAGACTTCTTGACAGTTAGACCAGGTGTTATGACTTTGTTTTTGGTACAGAACAGGTAGGCGTAGCTGCATAATTTTTGGATCAAAATAATTACAATGATAGGCGCCGAAATGAAATTAGACAGTGCGACAAACACTCTTATCAAAGAAGTTCTATTGTGCCCCACCCACAGTTAATGAGAAACTTTAGGGCCCTGGGGGCGAGGTTGGACAGCCCCCTCACTAAGTCGCTTTCAGAGCCGCCTACAGTATTACCTTCGATAGCCCAACGGATTTCAGCTTCCAGATTTTTCTTCGCACCGTGCGAAGAAAAATCTCACCGTTATGATAATGGGATTACCCACGTTGCTATATGATAGATGTCAAAAACAAAAAGGCTCTATTGAAAGGTGGATTTGAAGGAACACGGAAATCTATTCTATTATTAGACCTTGTTCGATCGCCCTCAGGCTGTGATACTTAAGGTCAATTCGAATCTCGATGTTAAAGCGGCGATGAAGTAACCATCGTGATAGTGAACTTCAGCGACAAAATAGAATGTAATCACACAATTTCTCTCCGAAGTAAGTATCAGTGGAATAGAAACGCGAAGCTTAGAACTGGGTGTGCTAATACCTTTGGTCATTTCTTGCTTCAAAAGAGGGTCTGATTTTTCCTCAAGACCTGATAACTGAGACTAATCAAGAAAATAAAACTAGTTGAAGACAGAAAACTTTCCTTTTAATGAAAAAAAAGCTTCAAGGACTAAGAGAAATCAGCGATTCTCAAGCAGTCTGTAATGTACCTACAAGTAAACTTTTTGAAACAAAAGCAATAGTTTGAGAATTGTTTTCTTCGCTTTCCATGCATTAACGCTTTCTTTTGAAATCGTTTTCGTCTCAAGAGAAAACAACGCGATATAAAATGTATTCTTTGTGGCTCTTTCATGGTTTATAGGCTCTTTTCACTGGATGACAGTGTGGTTTAATTGTCCACGTGGGTTGATCAACAATACAAATCATCTGATGAAGTCAAAGCCATTCAATTACCGCGGCTATAACTCTTCTATGCTTCGACAAGATGCAATTTGAAAGCCTCAGTCAATATCTTGTCATATCAAAGACGTCTAAGTTCTTGTACTCTTCTATGGAAGCGATCGCGGTCAAAGTGTTCGCTGTCAGTGTCAAATTTATTTAACTTTCTGATTATGTTCTTAAGTGATGGAAAAAGTCCAAGCAATAACCGTGAGTTGACAGAGAGGAAGAGAGGTAGGTTGATCAACATTCGATTCATTACGACTGTTTATTATGGATCGAGCGCTGCAGTGCGGTGCTTGCAAGTCTGGCATGGTATAGTTGAGGACATTCAAACCGCACACTCAGATCTTCAAACCTTTAAGAAAAATAGATGCCTCAAACCAAAACGAAGTGAGGTTTGAAATACATTGCAAGAAGGTTTGATAGCCATCTAATTATAGTCTTTCACAATTACAACTCTACAATGGATGGGTGTCTTTTCATCGGCTAATCCCTTACTTCAACTTAAACAAATCGTTTTAGATAACCGGAATCAAATCCTTCAGTTTGTATTGATAACTGGTGCGAAACGCTCGTTCGGGCGATCCATCATTCTGACTTCTTTTTACAAGTCACTAGTTTGCCTTTGTCTAATTTGATATGACTTGAAAACAGACTCTTAAGCTCACCTTTGTTCGAAAGGTCTCAAACCCTCAAACCCTAGGGCGGTGTGTTCCATATGTCACTGAGAGAGTTATTAAACGGAAAGAGCCGCCTTGGTAGCTTCCAGACTGTTCAAAACAGGAACATGTTTTGCCTCGATATGCAAGAAAAAGTCCTAACCAACTTCGAACTTAGCGGGTTCAAAATTTGATGCGTAGCAAACAATTCGGCTAGACTTGTGAACCGTGCAATGTCGAGTGCACGAAAGCTGGTTTAATCGATCATGAAAACTCATTTGCAAAAGATGTCAGAGTGAGTTATTGATAATTTTTTCGTATGTATCACTGCAAAGAGCGGCGATAACAGCTATTTTTGCGTTTGTAAGTTCAGGGGACGAAACTTTGCAAGAACTAGAAAGTGACGGAGGCGCACTGAGAGACAAGGCGGTGTCACTACTGTTATCATCAACTTTCGTTTCGTTTCAGGTCTGCGCTTCTGGTTTTCGCTCATGTTTATAATCATTAAGTGTAGGGGTTGAGCATAATGATGATAGGTTTCCGGCTGGAGTTTTGACAAATTACTTCTCCTCTCAAAAACACCCGGCAAAATAGTGAAAACAAACCCGATGAAATTAAAATGGAACTTGCTGATATTTGAAGCAACGAACTGGAAGATTCATGTGGCGACGGTCTTCAATGTAAGTAATGAAAGATAACAGAGATATCGTGAATAGAATATCGTGATCACATCAAGCTTTAAACTTGATGCGTCTTAAAAAAAAAATTTGGTAAAATTCAAAAAGCTTAATGCAGATGTTGTACTTCGGTATTAATTTACGATGGCGGGTAATAACACTGGCTGGTAATTGAAGACATTGTAAGAGGCATGAAAACATCACTGATATATGCAGATATTTTTCTTGTCGTGACGCATGAATCTTCAAGCAAGAAACCGGAAGAATATTCACAGCCGCTAAGGCGGCTCTCTGGCGATACTTCACTTACACAAGTTTGTTCGTGTGAGAAATTCCAAACATGACTATAAACACGAGAGCAGCAGGCGATGGGGATCATATATTGGACACCGCTGCATGTAAGTCTCCCTCATTTCGAAGCTTAAATCTTGATTGCTCTGTTCTTATAAAATTCTTCAAAACATTATGAAAACAGAAAATGCAAGGAAATTAAATTAGAGAGTGGGGAGGGTAACAGACTGAAAAACAAGCCCGGGGGGAGGAAGGGGAGCTATTAGGGAGTCCTAGGACATGTCCCCTTCAAGTTTCAAATCAACAGGATTGAAAATGTTGACGTTTGCCCCCTTTCGGCTCAGCAAAAAGACCAACAAATGTCCTGTATAACACCCCTGGCAAAGATTTCCAGCAATCAGTCATCAGGTTTAAGGGCTTCTCGATAGAGGGCATAGTGCATTGAGATGGTATGATTATGTTTTCAAAAAGTCTAGACACAGGAGCCATGATTGGTCGTATCTCACCGGCCGGTCATGAGAAGCTCTTTCCTATTTATAAGCTTGGGCCGTGGTTAAATACTCCAGAAGTCCTTTTATCTCCTCGAGAAACGGATAAAAATGTCAAACTCAGTCCAGCAGCTGACCTTCGTTAGGAACTGAAATATTACTCCTACACTTGACTAGTAAGTCGCATTCCTAGTTTGTCATACTGGCAAGCCACCGAAACCGACATTTTCAGGTCAAGGTTTTCATGGGTCTGTTATCTTTAAAACCAACAACGAACCCACTCGAAATCACATATGGGGCGTGTTGCGGACCAATCACTTCCCGAATAACAGACCGAAAACTCGAAACATTCTTCAAATAATTCTACCGATCATGTGTCGCTAGAGTTACCTTCTCAAAGAGTATCCTACCTTGGGGTTTATTTTAGACGACTTCGTGAAGCTTTAACGGCTAACCACGAGTGCTTTCGCATAGTTAAGCGACAGTCTTTGTCAACATCTTTCGGGCAGTTTCCGAGGAATTTTAATTTTTTTACATCAATTCGACCCTATAGGTAATCTGAAGTATTACCTTCATGTCTAGCTTTTCAATCCCGAAATAACAAACTGCATTCTCCAGGGGGAGCGATGATTTGGCGGCATTGTCTTTTCTTGATGATAAAAATGCTAAATGTGGCAAAAACATCGATCTATTGGAAGATCAGAGTCATTAGTGTTGTGTGTCACATATCAGGCTTAAAACATTTTACTCTGATCAACTTGTTTTGACGGGAAAAGAAGGAAACCTGAGGGCCACCATGGCCACAACTGATTTACATAAAAATAGAAAAAAGAATAATTATAGAGACACGCAACTGAGTATAATTTCAGTTAATGTTGTTGCGGATAACATAGCAAGCACCTTGCTCTCAGTCTGAATGTCTCGCGAGTAGGAGGAGGGCAAAGATGTATCCTGTTATAGTCCCTCTGTTTTTTTCCGTTGTTTTTATTTTTGTTTTTTTGTTTCTTTATTTTATCCTACCTCTCACGCTAAAATTTCTTAGTGTCATTTGAATTCATTCTCTAATTGAAGGGAGAAAAGCAGCAGATGTGAACTGAAGTACACCGTTAAAATAACATTATAAGAGTTTTCCTCTCTCTCTCGAAAAAAAGCAACGCTGTGTGAGAGCAAAACGGATTGCATCTTAAACTGGAATTGATCTTTTATCAGCAGATTTGAGATCAGCTTTGAAAAACAGTAAAACCTTGTGATAAATATCACTCTCCAATGTTTTGCATATTTGTTAAGTGTTATCAAATGAATATTTAATTCTTAATTTTAGAGCTCCAGTCTGAGAATTATAAATAGTCACGGAAGGGCAGAATAAATAACTCTAGATAAGATCGACCTTTAACGAAAAATCTCCGCCTTAACCCACTTAGTTCACCTGATATGAAAGTATTCTTGTACAGATAAACTGACAAGAAAGTGAAATAAATACCATCCCAAATCCTGGGAAACGAAAAGCAGATCTAAGCTCTTAAGGCTGTCCCCCAACCAGCTGTTCGTTATTTAACTGACATTGTCAATCAAAAGCAGCTAATGGTTGCCGGAAATAAATAGGGGCAGATTGAAACTTTGCGAGTAGGCGGTCTTTCTGCATTGTGCCTGAACAGTCACGACGCGTTTATAAAAACAAACGCTCCGGTTTAAGCGCCGTTCTGGAAAGCTTATGTATTCCTCGATTCGGTTCGAAAGAAATATTTCTTCAAACTTTTCTTAAGACAAGAGTACAAGCTTTAGTTAGGGATTGCTTAAATCCATGACTTGTCTAAAAGAATTTAAATACGTGGGAATTTTCCTTCTTAAACTCCTTAACGATTCAGAACCCCATAAAAATTAAACTTTGCGGATTACGGGTTTGAGCTTAATGTCAACACATCAATTCTAGATGACTTATCTCCGAGTGCTTCTTTCAATTCCGTGTAATGTGTCACTCTTTGTACGAAGGATTACGTTCTTATTCACGAAAGCGTTTATGTTGCTGATCACGCGACTAACAAGTTCCATTCGACACAGACAAACGACGCAAGTCTTGTCAAGTGGATTCAGTAGATCTTCCTTCGAAATTACCCTCAAATGCAGCTTTCTACGGGACGTTTATATTTTTCGTGAATCTCCCACTGTTTGGGAAGAGGTCAGAGAGCAGGCGTCTGAGTGCTTTTTCCACGACAAATAAATTATTCTCTGTTTATTCTACTAATGGAAAGCGCACTGAGTTTGTGTCAAAACAGCGAAGAAGTGAGGCACGCTATTAGAACAGGACGGAACATCGGGTGAGTCCGACGATCGGTTCGCGTTGGTCGCAACAAACTGACCTGGGTTCACGGCGAGGAAAAGTAAGTCTGAGCTAAAACAAGTAGCTTTAAAAACTCTTGGGCGCGTGAACCACGAGCAAAGGAAACGCGCGCGGAAATAGCAAATCCTCTTATTTTAGATTATGAGAGACGCACAGTGAATTTTGTGTTGAAACTAAACCAGACATGTGCCAAATAATGGTTTAATCCCTAATTCATTTGACCGATCAGCGTTGTCAGCAAACTTGTGTTGGTTCCATGGTGTATCCGGCCCAGCGTCTTGTAGGAAATCGCATTTAGCAGTTGTATCAGTCTCTACACTTGCTTTAATCCGACGGAATAGAGCAACGCAAAAAATGCTCCGTGTGAAAGCAGAGTTTCTGCCCCACTTAGTACGCTTGTGAGTGTCTTCCGCAATTGGTAGAAGCTAACGATCCAATCACGTTTCGTCTCAGTCTTGCTACCTACCCATTGCATGCGGCTCAGTTTTTCATAAATACTCTTAGGACTCTTAGCTCCATGAGGAGACTTTAGCCAATAGAAATCTGGGCTTAATGGCGGTTTTCTGGCGAGTGTAACAGCCACATTTTTGCTAGTGTTAAGTATTTGAGATAGTGTATTTGAGCGGACTAGGTGGTTAATTTAGAGCTAAATTTCGACATTAAGCTGAATAGGAAATTGAAAATAACAGATAAGTCGCAAGCTATGGAGTTACTATTAGCTTGAACATTTCGTCGCATTCTATGATGAAGTCTAGGTGAGCGCGATTTCATTGCATCCCGCATGACCAAGTTGGTCATCCGGTTGCATAAGTATTTCCTCAAGCTTAATTCTCAAGTTGCCGTGTACTTAGTTGAATAAGCCAATTATTTGGTAGCTTAAACTAGGCGTTTAATGGAACTATTTCCCGAAATTGGTCGCATTCTTGCTCCAGTTATTTCAACCAAAGTTTGACTCCGATCAAAATCGTACAGACCAATTTTCAAGTCCAAGTAAAGCACCCGCGCCGAAGAAGAAACTTCCTTGGTATGGTCAGGTTCTTTAGTCTTAGGAGTAATATCATATTTTTAGAATTATGTTAACTAATTACAATTATTCATTTACATTAGTTTACCACTCTAGGAATGTTCATTTCACCGGTGGTGAACGACACCCATTTGGCAAATCATTTACTGAGTTTCAGCATCGTAAAAAAAAAAAAAAAAAATCGAAAAATATAGAAAGAATCAATCACTAACAAATCTTGAGAATAGTTGAAAATTGTCTTTAAAAATTTTGGGAATTCTTTTTTTTTTGAGAATGAGAAGCCTATCAGAATAAGACGAGCAGTATTGCCTAGCTCGCTCTCGCTCTTAATTATTTGCAGAAAGTTACTGCAATGTAAATTTGATGGCAAAAGGCCACAACTTGATGCAACAGATACTGTGGTGCTTTGACGACTTGATTGATAAATGATGAAGGTACTAACTGAAGATATGACAGAACGCTTCTCAAACTCAATATTTGTTTTATTAAAACGGATGAGTGACTCATATCAATTTTATTTTGGGCAAAGGGTGAGGTGGAGATTGAATTTCTCAATAAAGAAAACAGACTGAATTCGTTGAAAATTGGAAGGAATTTTATGTTTTACGAAACATTCGAGAAAAGCCACTTCCGCCATGCTTTAAGCCATCGAGGATTTCGAGGAAAGCGTTGGAAAGAGAGAGAAGGAAAGCTCAGATTCTCCTTTTCTACCTTTTCGATTGTTTATTTTTGAATTGCGATCATGAGCTGTAAACATTACTAAGTCGTGATGCGTTCATGTTTTTATTTCTCAGCGGGTAAAAAGCTTCCTTTGCTTTTCCTTTCCTGTCTCTGAGATGAAAAATATATCGCGTTTCTCAAGAAAAATATACTCACGTAGGTTATCAGAAGCGAGAAATCATGTTTTCAAAACACATCTCTTTCTGTCTTGGAGATTGTAGACAAGAGAAGCTTGACAAAAAATTAAAAAAAACTGAGCGGAAATTCTATTTGTCAACTGAAAAGTCAGAACCAGATATAAAATGCATAAAGTAGATGATTTTTAGTGATGATTAATTTTTGTCGCTTCCTTTCTTTACAAACTGTCGCAATTTATTTTTTTTTTGCTTTAATGATTAAATCTTCTGATTTGGCCAAGACACTCGCATTTTGTGACAGTAGTCAGGCCATCTTCGGACTCACTTGTCAAGTAATATCTATATCATGTCTAACAAATGCTACTTTATCTCTGGGCCTGTCGTTAAACTGATCCTGTAATTTCTTGCCGGCCTGAATTATTTGATTAAGAACCATTTTTAGCGATGTTTTTGATGAGATCCCTTCAGATGTGACTCAGCGTGTGGTTGGCAGTCATCACGCTCCATTCATCGAGATAAGACACATCAGGCAAATATCACAAAGTGAAAAAGAAAACGCCTCTCTCCAAATGACGACCTAAGAATCAGCTTAGCATTTTAAAAGTGTCTTCCCAACGGGGGACCATCAGAATTTGAACCCCCATGAAGACTTTCCTTTCCCGGTTTGGCGAGATGCTTTCCTGATCTCTTTGTTAACGGTATGGAAATCATTGTTTTTTATTTTCAACTTTGACAGAAGGAGGTAAAATCGAATTTTGGCCATACGTTTTGAGATTCACGTATTTCATTGAAATTATATTTCAATTGCACCCTACTGTTTGGTCACCTGCTGGACGTAATATGACCAAGCAGTTATTTCTGAGCGTTTTACTTTTAATCTTAAAATTCCTTTTAGGAAAAGACATACCAAAAATAACTAACAAGATATTTCCATTTTTCTTAACGTCACCTTAACGATATTTGAACTATCACCGAAAAGCTTAAAGAAATTATTCACAAAAAATATTTGACTTTGATCAAAAGATTTTCGTTTGTTCTTAATTTTTAATCTCAGTTATGTCTTTGTTGCTTTCTTCACATTCATCTATTCCCCGACGAAGGAGAATAACAAAAGATTAAATTTCTACCGCCTAGACCGATTTTTCGTAGAAATCAGGCAATGGATGTTCTCACAGTTTGCACAGCGTCTGAAAAAATGGTAAAGTCAAACGGCAATGATAAAATTAACTGAAGCCGCTTTATTTCATTATGTGAAATAAAAGAAAATCGTGTAGACATTATTTCTTTTGTAATTAAATCACTGGTTGAAATCCACCCTGACATAAACAAATTTCATTTGAAAGTAAAGTAATAATACCCGAAACTATTACTCGGCCGTCGAAATGTGTTATTGCATCTTCTTTCTACGCTGCGGCGAGCATGCACGCTAGATTTGAAACAGTGATGAATAAATCGAAGAAATCTTCAAAATGTATCGTGATAAAAATCTTGATGTTAATCTCCGAGTCGCGGGGTGAACAAGCGGTACACATCAGTCGAAGCGATTTGTCCTTTATGGACATTTGCAATTAAGTTAATTAATTCGCGCCCGGTTTCAGCTGCCGCTGATTGGCTGCCGAATGTGTAAGTATTTTCTAATTCAAATCAAATATTTGTGTATACACGGACAGAGAGGTTCTAGCATATTGGGTTTCAGTCAACAATCGCTCATTTTACATTTTGACGCATCGATCGCCTTGTGGAAGGTTGCACAGACGTTAATCCGGCAGATCGACACTTTCCTTATCGATCTCTTCTTTGTGTAATTCACTTTCGCCACATCATCCGAACGGCATCTGATCTGACCTCCAGACACAAACTGGCAATAGCAAGAAGGCTGTGGCTTTGTGAAGTTCTGTGCAGCGGCTTCCGCTGGATCTGATATGTGACATTTAAGCCGCGCGATATGTGGTCGCGAATGCACGAGAATGGCTTAACCGATCGCTTTCGTCCTCTGTAATCCCCGCATCCTTCGTTGAACGGCTTGTTTGTTTAGAAGTGCTCGCCAAGAACGTAAAGACAGAGTCGTCAAGGAAAGGAAAACAGCTTGCGTCAAGGCCGCCTTTTACACTTGAGCTGGGAACTGTTTAGAAACAATAGGTTATCTCTGTGGTGTAATCGGTGACTTGACAGGCAGTAATTGTCCGAGTGATTGGCGTGCGCCGAGCTTTGCCTCGAGCGAAATGAATTCTCTGCTGCTGGTCAGGGAAATCTTGGATGACCTGAACTTTCCACTTGATTGTGCGATCTGAAAGGATCACAAAGATTCTTGCTGGCGATCATTCAGGCTTCTAACACTGCGTAAGTATTAATGGTGTGCGACTTGTTCGGATTTCCGTCCTGTAGGCGGTGCTCTCGGGTCAAACACGGATTGAAATACCAGCAGCCAATTGATCGAATTTATCTGGGAAGCACAGGATGTTGCAAATTCGTCTTTCTTTCCGAAGTTGACTTTCAACGTTGGTTTGCGGATCGCTTGTTACTGTTTTGCGCTGCAGGTGAATGTATGATCTGACTGAGAGTGAGTGTTAAGCATGACTTATTGAAGCGAAAATTTCAACAGGACATTTTTCATTTGTATGTGAAAGCTTTCTTCAAAAGTGGCAGAGTAATGTGAAATGATTGATGACCAGGAGTTTATTAACCGGCGACACCTGAGCGTCACAATTTACACGTGTTCTAACCATCACAAAATGTACTTAATTCCGAACACAAAAAACCCAAAGCACTGGCCGTAGCTTTTAGCCGATTGTTTGCCGCACTGATGCCATCGTATGGAGTGGTTATTCGGTTTCCAAGTCGCACTGCACAGTTTTGGTTTCACAACTGTGACCTATTAGGCCACGATGAAAGCGCGAGTTAAGATGATTTATTACTTTGACCTACGCGGTATCCTAGGATTACATTTGAATTTGGTTTTTATTGAGTTAAATTTCGTCAATGTACCGACTGAATCTACATTATCGATGGCACTGCCAATTTCCCAGCGAATCGGACACTTGTCGTCTGAAATTCATTACGGCGGACCTACAACAGAAATAATTTTGAGCCGTTTCCGAAAAAAGATATCTTCTTTGACCAAACAGGATTATTTCCAGTGGCGTTTTGAGAGCCAAGTGTACATAAGAATCGCCAACAGTGTCTGACATAGAGGTTTTAAATTTCTCTTCCTTTACCGAAATGAAGTCGGCAACTCGGCGTTATTGGCATGATTCTTTAAGTTTTATTTGTAATCCAAGATCTCTGCTTATCCATCTCTGTATGAAACAAGCTATCGAGAAAAACGTTGGTCATCGGAAAAATGAGAGGGGAGAGAAGATCGGTTATTCGGAATCCAGGTGGTTGTAGTGTTAAAGTACAGTTATGAATCATAAAACTTGATCCGTACTTTTAATGAGAGTAATTCGAAATTTCTATCCTGTCGAGTTCTGGCATAAAAACAAGACACTTCTGTCTAGGCCCCCTTCTGATGAAAAGGCAACTGTTGAATACCTCTTGCTGTAAGTGGTTAGCTTACATGCAAGGTCAGTGTGCATGGCAATCGATATCTTAATGTATTTATGCATACTGAAATTTATTAACCTTGCGCCGTGCCTCTTTGTTATTTCTTTGACAGAGTTTAACGCAGAAGAAGCGCTGCGCGCCGCTGTGTTTGTTCAAGAACGGAGAGGTCCTTGGCTGAAGAATGTGGTACACCAAAACGGTTTCCTTGGAATTTATTCTATTCCTATTTGTGGTTGTTCACTGCAAAGGTATGTTCCTTTGGATTGGTTTAGAGCGTAAGGTGTGTTTTGATAAGTTGTGTCTGTGAGGGGCAAGGGTGCTAACGTCATGCAAATAGGCTTTCAGTTTCTGTATAAACACAACTTTGACTCATTTTCACTGGATTCCTATGTAACTTATTAATCATTTAACTCATAAAATGCCTGATAGGTATCGGGTAAAGTAAACGGTGATGAGATAAATTGTTTGAAAAGAGATTAAATTCAATCAATTACTCGGCCTCGTGCCTTTGCCAAGGGGAAGTTGCATCTTTGTACGTAGTTCGTGCGCTCAAAACTCCGTTTTGAGAAAGATTTCACTTTAAAATCAACAAGAAATCGGAAACACGTGGTCAAAGCTGTCTCTTCAAAGTAGGACAGCTCGGAACCCTGTTAATTAGTGGCGAAATTGGAGAGCAGATAACACAATGGAATTCACTGACTTCATCAAGTTCTGCTCATTGTCTGTTTCCTCGATGGCTACTTCAGAAAGACATCTCCATCAAGAAAAGACTAGAATTATGATTTATGAGGTTTCAACCACGTACTGAAACTAACTCTTTGCGGATCTGATTGCTATTACCCCGTTTCTTGAGAATACTTTACATAAGATTCGATACATAACTGATAAGACCAATTTGTTCAATGAGCGGGCGATAAGACATTAATGCAAAGATATAACGTGTTAAGTCAGCACATGTCGTTTCTACTGATCAACAAGAAATAACTCGGGAAAAGGAAAGAGGCCAGCGGAGGAAGGAAAAGAAACGGAGAGTTTGAAAACAGTAAGCTAGTACAATACGGTGAATCCAATTAACACCTAAGACGTTAAAGGTTGATTGCTAATTGTTATGGAACTCATTTCGTATCGCAAGAAGTACCAAGTGGGCGTTAAGACCAAATTGAGGCCATTGTTACAGCTTAATAGCTTCTTGTAGGTCGCTTGAATACCGCTTGGGTATCAATTGAACAAAGGGTTAACTCGAAACCGCTGCTACAAACGGTTCAGCTATTTTGAAGTGTTCTTGCGTTAGTTATTGCTTTCAGTGGAGAAAAAGTGTACAAAGCGTTGAACTCTCGCGAGAACAAACTCACAATCCAATCGACAAAAGAAGTCTCTAATTTAATTAACGCTGATTACCCCTCACACAAAGGTGTAGTGGAGGGTACACTTTGGTTTAATTTTCACATCATAATATTTATAAAAGTTATTTTCGTCCATGGGCCTGTTGTGTTCAGAAAGATTTGGCTCGTTAGCTTTTCATTTGGTTGTTTACATTAGAATCGGTGAGGGGAATCATAACAAACGCCAGAAGAAGCCCTTTTAGTTAATCTATCAGAGGTCGTTTATTGGTTCAAATTATCTTGTTCTTCATTGGGTTGATGCATTATTCTTTTTTTAGTTCTGAGAAACCTAAACGTGTGTAGTCAAGGGCTCTCTTAGGTTTTTGTCATCTTGTTAGGCTTTCCGTGTGGTAGACCCTGCATGGCGTATCTATACAGGGACGGACGGATTTTAACCGAGAACAATGTGCTATTGTTTAAAGTATCATTTATGCTACAGCTGTTTTCGAACTCAAAATGAAAACCCTTTTCTCGGATTTTATCGCATGCTGTGTACCACTAATAAATATTTCAACAAAAGGTAAAATGCTCCTTTTATCAAGTGAACCATGCATAATGATAAAAAATTAAGACTGAGACAAAACTTAGAAATACGATCGAAAATAGACTGACTCGTTACATTCCTGAGTCACGAATTTAATATTTCTAGTGCAAGTGCTTGTTATCTAACGGATTTTTTCTGCCCTTATAAGCAGCTTCTTCGACACCTGTTGCAGGTTGAAACCAGCTAGTTCATTTACCTTTTCAACTCAACTAAGGGTCGATACAAAATAAGACTTAAAAAATCTCCGCAGACGATTCATAACATGCGGCTCTTTTGGGGATAATCCGCTGATCTGATCAAATGGAATGAATGCAAGCTGGACTTGTTTGTCAGTAACTCTGAATTTTTTTTCTTTCCACTCATGGTTGACTGTAGCCCGAGGAAATAACCGCCCCCTGCTGGTTAAAATGTAGTTTCCGTAACAGATGGGAAGAATTTTCTTCGCGAGAATTCCAAATATTTATGTTTAACAAAAGAAGATTGAAACGTTGTTGATAAAGACTGTTCAGCAAAGCTTAGGAGTTTACTTTCCGTAAAATTCTTTGCAATTGCAAGCCATAATTGTTGTTTAAGAGTACTCTGAGCATACCTGGAGGCCCATTGAACAACACGAAGGCAAATGCAGCATGGAGTAATTGATATAGCTGCTGAAAGAAAGGCGACAGAAAAAGAAAGAACCCCTCTTAGTGTGTGGCCTGTAAAGGTCACTGAATTTTAGAACCAAAACATCTCATGGAGCTTATATCACGTGAGACTTTTTTAAGCGTGAGAAACGGTTGGAGAAGTCGGTATGTGGCGAAAAACAATTAAGCTCATGCGAACTGGAGCAAAATTAGGAGTAGGTTCAATCGCGTTTAAGTCGAAAGTGTGAGGTAATGTTGCGTAAGCAACTAACAGATATAAAAGCAATTTACTTGTTCAAAAGCAATTAGCCCCATAGGTCATAAAATTAAGGAGCAAGGGCTATAATCGATCTAAAAATGTGAATCTTTTGATTTATGCAAAACATAATTAGTCACGAGACATGCTTGGGAAGCATCAAGTGCGGCCATGCAACTCAAAACTGTGTATGATAGAACAATGACCTTTAGACAGTAGGCAGGGACGAGGAGAACTGGTTCTGAACTATGAAGTGTTAAGCCTACTCTTCTGATGTTTTTACGTGAACACAGTAAAAATAATCCAAAATTTTATTGTTACTGCCTCAGATTTCAGTTTGCAATTGGTCTTGAAAACTCGCGTCATCATTTCAGTGAATGGGATGCAAAACTTAAACCCGTCGTGACTCGATCAGTGTCCATTTTCCCGGCCATGCTTAGAACCCTGTTTACTTCGAGTTCTGATTGGTTCTTTGCGAAGTTTGGCTGTTTTCTGAATGTCCCTTGTGAGGACTTTGTTTTTGTTTGAACGAAATTCGATTTGTGGTACGTATTTACTCTCGTGACACTTCGTTTCATCGTTTCATCTTCGTTCCAAGAGAAGAACGGTTTTGCGTTGATTTTAACGCCTTAATCAGTTATAGATTTCTACGCCATGAAGAAAATACCTTCTTATCCGAGAACGCCTATCGGATGGAGAAACCCTTTAACACAAACTTTTAAATCCCCAAGTTGAGGAATTAAAATGGAGCTGTTTCCACCAATTTTGTTTATCAGATCCCCCTGTCCTTCTTGCACCAGTAAAGTCGCAGTATACGGTCCACGAAGGACGAAACGTCAAATTACGTTGCAAGTTCTCCGGAACAAAGGATCCCCCAGAGAACAGGACCTTAACAGCGTGGCGAAAGTTACCCGAGGGGCCCTACATCACCAACCAGTTGCCGCGTTTTAAGAAGAGGCTTCAATATTTGAAAATAAAAAAGGTGGAGCCTTCGGATGAGGGGGTGTATGCTTGTATTGCTTACAATTCTTTTGGGAAAATCAAACAGGAAATACGTCTCGTGGTCAGAGGTAAGAGAAAGAGGCTAACTTCCACTCCGTTTACAAATTTTGAAATTGCACGCGATTACTGTCTTACAAAAGTATTCAGAAAACAAGGAAAACTGTAAACGGCTTATGAATTTGAAGAATCCTACACTAGAAAGGACCCAGTTTGCACATCCCTACATCAGCACGTTCTGAAGATACTGTTTTTCTACGTAGCTATGTACTTCTGTCGGTCCATTCTGTCTGTACTGTGGCTGTGTCTGTCAGGCACTCACGAAGGAGGTCATTTATTCAGCCAGTGTATTTGTCTGTGCGTCTTAAATTGTACAGGTAAACATTTCTAAAAGACGCTCAAGGATTGATGAGCTATTTCTTGCCAAAATATGAAGCAAAACATTATGCCTTGAATTGAAAAACTATCCTCAACCAAACCAGCTGAAAATTAAACGTTTTCTCCGACTTAACAGGGTCAAACACAAATGTCACCACAGACTCAGGAAAGACACCCAGTCCTATCCCGATTACACCAGGTAATACGAGCAATGTGTACATAATACAGCCTTTTTTTAGATCTTAAGAGTGTTTAGCGTTTAATCAATATTAATAGCACTTGTAACATCAACCCTCAGGTTGCGGCTCGGAAAATTGCCAACTTCCCTTGTACTGACATTATCCCTTTAACTCCCAAGCTGTGTTTGCTAATCCTCCCCTCTAGCCGGTACACATTTCATCGCAAATTACTTACAAGAATTTGGTGTTAGATCAAGATAACAACTTCCATCTGATACGTTTCAGTATTCTCATTACCTGTTTGCTGGGTTATGTACGGTTATTATAGGGAGAAGTTCCATGTTCATCACTTCTGGGAGACAGTATCTCCCGTAATTCCATACCTAAAATATTCAGTCCTAGAGATACTGTTGCTTTAGTTCTGGTTCATTATTTTTCCATCGGTGTCGTTAATATATTAGAGTTAAACCAACCCATATCACGTATGGTAGTGCAAACTTTCCTCTGCAGAAAAATAGCATTGATCGTCTGACTTCTTTATCATCGTTTCCAACAGTGTTGGAGATCACTGCTAGAGAACCGCCTATCAAAAGTACAACCGACCGTCCGATGCGGATTAGTGTGGGAGGGCCTTCTCAAAAACCATTACCATTAATAGGTTTGTGGTGAATTTCCATTAGTTTGTACCCGTTCATTTATTGTAATTTTTCCAGTAACTTTATGATTCCCTACTATATAGCCGTCGCCTCCGGCTCAAGCCTGGCTTTTTTTTGTTTGTTTTTTTTTTATAATTATCAAAAGTAGGATTGGCACTATATTCGCTACACAATACTTATTACACGACTCGGGCAGTCAGAGGGCCAATAACTAAAATCAACCAATCAAAATGCTCTATTGCCGGTCCAATATTCTCTAAGTATTGGACCGGGCACTGTCCCGAATGGTCCCGAATGATACCACACTTGTGTCCCTTTGAACTTCAGTCGTGTAATAACTCTCTTATTAACCAAGCTTGCTCGGGACCGTAATGGAAGAACATCGGCCCTCGGTCTTTTTTGTACGGACCTCGCTGCGCTCGGTCCGTACTGTCAAGACCTCGGGCCGATATTCTCCCAGACCGGCCCTCGCGCTTGGTTAATAAGATATATATATTACATCTACAGAGAATTATCCACCAGGACAACTCCCGTCATCATGGCCAGCTAAAAAGAAATTTTTCAGGGGCTGGGAAAATAATTCGGCCTTTCAATCTAGCTCCTTTAAGCTAGAAATTCGACCCATCAATGTCGGTACGATCAAAATATCATTAGCAACACTACATTAAATTCAATTGTCAGCTTGTAGAAATCCAGTCTCTCGTGTTATTCCAAGGCATCTATCCATCATCTGTTATTTTCGTTCGTTTTGACTAACAGAGATTGCAATCAAAAAACGTTAGCTGTGTGTCTTTTTGTAGATGAGTACCCACCGAAGTTCAAGGTTCCACGCAATCGCATTCTCGAATACGTCAAAGGTCACCCCATTAGACTAAAATGTCACGCAACGGGAGCGGCTCCTCTAAATGTCACGTGGGCAAAAAATGGCAAGCCTTTGAGCCGGAATCACCGGTCGCACCTGAAGTCAAAAGGCTGGGTGTTAAGCTTCAAGGAATTGACTAATGATGACACTGGAACTTACTCTTGCATTGTGAGGAACGCATACGGTAGCATCGACAAGACGTTTGATGTCAAAGTTATTGGTAAGATAAATTTCTTTGCCAGATTAGTATTTGGGTACACTAAAGAGACTGGGAAAAACTATTTCATCTATGTCACAAATTTTACACCGATAGTTTCAGTTGGAGGAGATGGGGAAAATCCTGAATCCAAGCACGGTTTGGGCTAAGTAAGAAACACACACTCAGCTTACAACTAGTTGCTGGGTAAAGGGTTGATCCATACTTTTCTTTGCAACCCTTCACATCTGAGCCTCTTAGATAAGCGGTTATCCAGGTTTAAGAAGTACCGCCGTCGTTATGAAATGGGAAAAAAAATAAGCTGGGTTTCCCTAATTGGTCGGTCGCTGGCAAATAACACAGAAAATAGGATAAATTCAGTTACGGCTCATGAGCTATACAGAAGAAATATTTGTTACTGCTAATCTTCGTGACTCGCAAAAGAAGATGACAGAGTTGCTGCTCTGATCTCACAGTTGTAGATTGAAAGAGAATGCGACTTCATCAAAAGAGAAGAATTGCGGTTTGTTCACGCATTGAAAAATGTACCTTGATAAGCAATTAGCTATCCTTAACGTTAGTGTTCCTTTAATTTGTGATTGTTCATTAATACCCATTTTGTGCTTTATTACATCCATTTTGAAATCACTGGTGGTCCCTGTAATCTGATTGGCTCAAATTGGTGCGATTTATTCCCAAATCGCACCATTTTTTCCTCTAAATCGCACCATTTTACCCATTTTGTGCTTAACCACCATGACCCTCCCCAAACGATTATTTAACTTCTGTATCACATACAAAAGTTAATAAGAATGGTGACGCTGGTGAGGAATCGATGAAAATTCAAGAAACCTCAATTGTGACAACTCTATTCAGGGAAACTGCCATTATATACATAAAACCTTTGTACCCGTTACTTTCGTAGAGGCAACACCAGGAACACTTTCTGCGGCAACGAGTTGGTCCGCTGAGTGGAAGTTCTAGAGTACTGCGATGTATCCGCTGCTTTAGTTTTAAGACTGGCACGATAGAATAAGACTTTTAAGACCAGTACGAAAGAGTAACCTTAAACTATGTAAGATCTAGGCAAATAAACGAGGAGCACACCATAACTTTACCCTTTTCATATTTTACTTCCCAGAATCAAAGAATGAAGTTCGTTTTCCTCCTGAAGAAAAACCAAAGATTTTAAGGAACGTTTTAAAGAATGAAACAGCCATGGAAGGCGAAGACGTCACGTTTGTGTGCTCTGCAGTAGCTAAGAGTCATCCTGATTTTCACCTTCTGAAATGGAAACCACCCAGGAATGTTTCGAACGACACCGATCCATTTGACTTTGTCGACTTCAGAAAGTCAAAGTACCAAGAAATACGCGAGAGTGCCAAGCAACACGTAGGTAACCGTAAACTGTACACTCATCGCTTTATTGTCAGAAATGTCATGTTGGCGGATGAAGCCAGGTACACATGCGTGGTGGGGAATTCTGCTGGTTTCGTATCCCAGAACGTGTTTCTAATTGTCACGACACACGACGGTAGGTACCCTGTGCTTGCTTCAACCGTGCATTATCAAGTGTAGTTGGCATTCGTCTCAATGAATACTAAACAAATACATTCATTCCCGGTAGCCTCCTCTTTCATGTCAAGTCAGGCTTAGGAGCTAATAACTTTAATTCACCGCTTAAGCATTATGTTAGACTATTAGTTTTTGTCGCTTTTTTGTTATCTTCGTTGGTTAAAACAAAAATTTATTTGAACCACTACAACTTCATTCTTAATTTCACAAGAACTGCTTCTCCACTGAACTAGAATGATGTGCGATGGGTTGCGGTCGGAATCGGTTGCGCCTTACTGGGCCCCGACGTGATTCCGATGAATGGTCCAAATCAATTCGTGATATCAGTCTTTTTGCTCTGTGATTAGTAGAGAAAACTCTCACCGCCCTCTAAAACCAATCAGATGCAAGACTGGAACCATTCGCGTGTTGGTCACTCAAATTTTCCCGCTTTACAACGTTTGCCTGTTTTTACGTAGTTCCTATTGGCCCTCTGTCATATCTTTCTTAGTTTTTATTGGCCTTTGTGATTGGTTTGATTCGATTTTACGACACTCGATCGAAGTGCCCTTGATTGACACCGAACCACTCTTCGCGCAGATACAAGATACTCAGATAGAGGAAAAAATCCAATTGTGTTTAAATCTCTTGCAGATGAAGGTGTAGTTCATGGTGGCATAGGGAGCCAATCTACAAAGACAAAGTCTCCAAGAAAATATCCAGCACCTCAAGAAGACAATGAAATATATATGGAGGAAGTTCCACTTGCCGCTTTAATTGGAGTTCCAATCGCTGTGCTTATACTTTTAACTGGAACTATTGTTTGGTGCTATTTCATGACAAGAAGGCATCACGCTCGCCAACACTGGGCCAATGATGTAGATAACAGCCCAAAAACCACCGACTTAAGTAGTAAAAAGGACTCACAGTCGGAACTATACGCGCCGAAAAAGGCGATGGAAGAGATGCGGAATGTAAGTTTTAACGTATATGTTGACTGTCCGAATGACAGAGTTTCTCACACTAAGCAGCAATCACGGGCGCATAAGAAAACTGTGTTGCCGCACGAGAAGTGTAATTCATCGCGTGTGAAATGTGATTCATCACGTGTAAAATACAATTCCACGCATCAGAAATGCACGAAATTAAAGGATCCGCCATTGGACGGTCTTATTGTTCACAATGAACCTTCAAGAACTCATTCAAACAGAACAAATCACCGTAAGTGCCACGAGGAACATGAGCCCGCACGCAATGAACCCGGTGGGTTCAAGTCCGAAATAAAGTGTTCCGGTGTTTGAATAGCCAGGAAAAGGTTCAAAATGATAGATCTTCGTGATGTGTTACCAGAAAAAACGGTCTGCTATCCACTGCCTGCAATACCTAGTTCGGTTTCAGCAGTGCTACTTGATTTACGCTTGCCGTTCACATATGTCCGGCGGTAAAAGAAGCATTGAAACAAACATTTACCTCACACCTGAGGCCCGTTTCTCCAAAGTCCCGGTAACTTTACGGGCCCGAAGCCACAATTTAAAATAAAAACTTAAATGATAGGAAAGCAGTTTCTGGTACCCAAACCAGTCCTTTTTGTTTCGTTAGCTGATAGTTTTATTGTTTCATTTTCAAAATTTTTGAAAAAAAAAATAAAACAGAACAGCTTTACAGGCCCGTTAAGTTACCGGGACTTTCGAGAAACGGGTCCCTTGCTAGGATAGAGTGACGACTGGCCAAAGTCAGGAGCTCTCAATATGTCTGGATTAGTTATTACAGTATTCACTTTCGTATTATTCCCATTTCAAAGTTTATTTATAACCTGAAATTATACAGACCTGACGCTTCTGAAATAAGGGTGGCTTTTTATCATTCGATAACCCCACTTTTGGGGCCTAAATACAGAAATGGAATAAATTGTCATGGACTTATTCTGTATTCATGCAAGGGTTATGCTTCATTAATTTTGCAACCAACATAACAAGAATAATTGATATATGGTATTCCCCACCCGCGGTTACATCAACAAATGTTCAGCAAGAGTCGACAGTATGATATTTTATTAACCCTGTACACCTTCACATCAGCATGCATATTCTCCATAATGCTTTCCATATATTTGTTATGGCATTGAAAGGGAGAATTCTTTTGACAATCAAGGGGCGTCTTATTTCGTTATCATTGCCTTTATTCTCCTGACCTTAATGATTGATTCAGTAGTGATACTTTAAAGATGCTAGTAACTGTTAGGCGTTAACGGGTTGAGCACCAGTTATTCGACTGGGGTGGTTAGAACTCTACACAAATAATTGAACTGGGTTGTCTTTTGGGGAAAAACGTCGACAGCGGCAAAAGACATCAACTATTTTGAAAGATAAAAGGAAGCTCAGGAGAAAATAAAATCCTTGAAAAATTTGAACTGCTGGACGGGCTTCATCACATTTAAATCAACCTTTCTCAGTTCATACAGGCACTGCTGATGCCCATAAAAAGGTGAAATGCGTCATTGCCATTGAGTGCGAGAAAATCGATATTCTGATTGGTTCCTAAGGACGTCCGTTTTTATCACCGAACGTCCTTTCGTATCAGGGAAGCCTATTTCGGCGTGTTGGAAATGCTAAAAGCAATAGGCTACCTAAGGTGTTAGTGGTTAGAGGGGGGGGGGGTACCATGGTAGGTGTGGCCTTGTTGGAAATAAAAAGGGCTCGCGCAAAAAGAATAATAAGCAAGACAACCTTGCCTTGCTCCCATATCCAATTATGTAGTGTCATATCAGCAACTGTCTCAAAATCCTTTCTACGCCCATGAAACAGATAGAGAATGATGTATGCCATTTTAGTATATTTCTTACAAGGATCACGTTTCTTGTCGGTTGCAAAGTATCGAGAGGTTTTCAAACATTTAGAAGAACTCGACATGTTCTCAAGTCAAGACTTTCTAAATCAATATGAAGTCAACATCAGTGTCAGTTCATACAGCACGATCAGTAAGAAGCTAGTCTAGTTGGGACGTGGGCCGCGAGACACAGCATTCAGAATTTCAGTCTTTTAAATGCAATTAAAACACAAGGCTGGTAATAAAACAGAGGCTACTTGAAATGGGCCAACATTTTGACTAGTACAGCATTGGCCCTGAGGAAGATAGGCGCCAAGACATGCGCCCCTTGCCGTAATGATGACCTTGAAATTTCATTAGTTTATCGACACGTCACGTGCGGTGCGAGCATCTCTACGCATGAGTTTACTCAGAGATGAGTGGTTTTCTACATGAAGGAGTATCCCATTCATCATCGTTCTGTCTGTTCTCAGCGATAAATTAATCATTATTCGAATTTTCGACACACTAGTTATAGTTGGAAATAATAAGATAGTTTCAGAAAGAAATTCCTATTAAACTTCCTTTCAAAGTTAATTTACACAGAACGTTTGTATGTATCTGTCTCGCATTGACTAATATGGTTCCAATAATCGCGGGCGGTAGGATCAGAATGAAAATATCTTCCAAGGGAAAGGAAAATGCTTCAAGTTTACGGGAGGTTCAAACACTCGCGCTAATTTCAACCAAGATCCCCCGAATTTAAGCTGTACATAGGCCAAATTCAGGGAAAATCGATTTTGGCTTCAGTTTGCGCTGGGTTGGAGTATGTGCACGTTTTTTGTAACAGGAAGTCGATCATAATCAAACAACCTGGCATGCTCCCAAATGCAAGAGGAAGGCTACTTTGCCCCCCTCAACCCCCCCCCCCCTTGACCCTCCTCCTTGACAAGAAAATTTACCCTGAACAAAGTCACGATTTTGTGAATCACTAAACCAAAATATACTGATCAGAATTATGCCCTCACTTAAACAGACGAGAGTTTCTCTTAACTACATCTGTACAGGACACTTGCTTTGTTATAATCGTAAGTGGAGAGGGTAACGAGGAGAATTCGAGAACCTACTTGTTTCTTATTTACCCCTTAGAAATTGTCTGTGTGGAGATTGCGTAATCCGGAAATCAGAACATGGGTCAGAGTTCCTTCATGCCTTTTTAAAAAATAAATGTCGCCACCTTGGCGAAATTTTGGGAGCAGATATTTTTCTTCAAACCTCTCATAAGGGACCCAGGTTGCAATGGAAGTGCTCATTGGAACCTAAAGAGGGGTAGAGGTTGTCTTACGTTGAGCCATTGACTAATAGGTTATCTACATTTGATGACAAATTACGTTTGGATTTTTAAGTCTATTCAGTTTATATACAATCCACGGCAAAATTATTGAACAAGTAACATTCACGTCGTTACTTTTAAGGAGAAAAAAAACCAAATTTGTAGCAAACGGAAGTCGAATACTGAAATCTACCTTCCACGATTACAGGAAAGTAGTAGGAAAGGAAAGGCGCAACATTATTCAAGGAATGAGAGTGTGAAAGTTAGGGAGTTAAGTTAAAGGTATGTTATTCCAGTTGGTTAACGGAGATGTAGTGCTAGAACTTATCTTGGAATGTAGCCACCCTTATTGAGCTAATCTTCACTAAGTCTCTCCTCTTGGATAAAAAAAGGCGCAACAAGTGAAGAGGCTGTCCACCTAGGGAGTGTGGGAGTTAACTCGTGACCCGAAGCCTTACTAGGACTAGGATAAGCTTTCAAGCACTTATGCGTCAAACCTTGAATCTCTCTTCGAAATCTCCTTTGCGGTTTGAGCGGTTTTCTTATCACTAATAGTAAGGGAGGAATAATCTGTTGAACAATGGAAATTATTTAAAAGCTACCTTGTGTCACTGCTTTGACTCATTTACATCTGGCTCTCGTCCAGTGCGGGGAGTTTGAAATATAAAAAGACAGCAAAGAAAAACTCCCTTAGAGCCTCTATCTGGTTCAGAGAAATTTAAATCAATCAAAAACCAATGACCGACAAAATTTCCAATTTTTCACGAACGTTTTTTGAGAGGAATAGATAAATAAAATTCACGTGCAGAAGGTGTCCTAAGGGTGTCTCGGAAACACCTGGCAATCGCATCGCATCCTGATCAGCTTAGACTCATTCGAGTGATATAAAGCTTACGACGGTTGGGTCGTTTGAGGCTGTGCTTATATTCATTTAAAGATACACGAAGCCGATGAATTTGAGTCAATTTTGAATCTTTTCCATCATGTTTAAAGCTAATATCAGTCTAAACCAAGTACCCCTGATAAAAAAAACCTGTGAGAATGGGACATGTGGCGTAATTCCTTTAGGGCTTGCCACAAGTTGCGCCGATACTTTTTGGCAACTTTTCGTATTCCGAGCAACTTTTTTTGTTTCGAGCAATTTTTTGCATTATGAGAAATTTCTAGTTTTCTAGATATCGGAGCAGTTTTGGTGCTTTAATTGGCCATGCTTCCATATTTTACAATGTTTCAGAAGATAATTTGTGAATTTCCTGTGAAAAAGAAGCAGTTCCTCCCTCCTGGGGCAGATCATGAGCGAAAGAGGCATGCCGCCGGGCTGCTACGTCAGCGGTTTTGTAAAGAAAACATAAAATGGCGGACGAAGATTCACAGGTCATTCAGATCCTTTGACGGTAGCTGCAGAAGCAGGGGCAAGACTGAGTACTTCAGCGAAAGCGGCGATTTCAAGAGAGCGCAAAGTGCAAACAAATCTAATTGGAAAAAAGCGAAATGTCCGAGGCACAGCAGATCCAAATGTGAGTGCTCGGGATAGATCAAATCAGTTCAAAGGAGAGCACGCAGGAAAGTAGACAATCTGAGGCCTTTTCTTGAAAAATATGGCCATCGTCTGACATCCTCAAGTCATTTGAATGAACCCATCCCCCTTATTCTCAAGAAAGAAAAGGACTGTGTTAAATCTGAAATTGTTGCAGGTGATAGTTTTTCAGATATTTTTATGGAAGCAACAGGCTTGGAGAGGCTTTAGTTTATTGTGGTGCGCTTTATTGCTAACCATTGTTTTATACAACAGAGGCTTGTGAAGCAGGAGGTTCTTGCAAAGAGCATGAATGCGGAAGAACTTGTTCAGCGTTTAATGCAATGTCTTGCTGGCGAGTGCATGATTCGTCCCGATCAACTGTTGGCATCAATGAGGGATTGTGTAGCAGTGAATGAAGCTGGTCTGCGTCAAATCAGTTTTTTCTTTCCCAACATGTTCATTGCTACATGTTTTTTTCACACCGGCGATTGTCAATATTGGAAAGCACTTCGAATTTAGTGTATTGAACACATTTTCTAGGTACTGGAATACCATGTTCTCTCTCAGTCCAGCTGCCCGCATAGAATGGAAAACAAGGACAGGAACTGCAGTGCGTCTAAGCTCAGAAACGAGGTGGTGTAGTAAGTGGGAAGTCCTAAATCTAGTAATGCAGTATTTTGGGGATGTGGAGCCTTTTCTAAGAGAAAAATGAACACCTGGCTCCCTCTTGTCAAAGGCATCTCTTGGAGTTCTTCGATGACTCAGTCAGTGCTCATGACTTGAAATTGAACTTGCTGTAATGATTGATGCTGGCCAACACTTTGTTTCAGCAATATATTAGCTTGAAGGAGATGGTCCTCTTGCTATGAGCGATTATCTGCATTAGCCCATGCAGTAGCTGTGGACTCTTATCCCAACACTGAAGTAAAAGCTCGCGAGCATGCTTGTAGGAATGTACCACTATGTAACCAGCTAGTTGCTCAGGGCAAGGCTTGCATAATCCCAGGGTTTAGGTTTATCAAAAGAAATTCAGTGGCGAATTCCACACAAGGGTACGTGCATTCCGAGCTGCCACATTGTGTTGTCCAGTAAAAGTACGGGAACTACACCCCACTGCTGCTTCAGTTTAAGAGCTTAAGCTTTTCCCCTTCCTTAACAATGATGCTACAATTGCCGGGCTTGTACGAGAGCTTCCTCTCTATCTTGCCATTGCTGATGGTGTAGTTGTCGAATAAAAAGAGAGAAAAGTGCGGTGGTGGTCATCACAAGAACGGGTTCTTCCAAACTGGTCAGCAGCTGTAAATATTTTTCTGATTCGACCAAGCTCAGCCCTCATCAGTATCCTTCAGAATATGTTTTCAAAGCAGCAAGATGCAGCACTGGCAGAGACTGCTGCGATATGATGGCAGCCAGCGAAGTATCTTACCTTGATGAGCTACATGTCAGTGCTGTTGTTTACAAATCCATGCCCAGAGGAGAAACATTTTAAGATAACATTTATTTGGGAGCCACTAAACAGGTTATCTGTAGATAAGTTTGATACAATATTGTTCACATAGAGATAGATAAATGTTGAGTTTTTGTCGTCAGTCACTAAGTCAGTCCCTTCAGAGTGATGTGTATTTCTATGTACTAAAGTGTGGTACAACATAAGTCTGTTTTAATTAAGTTCAAGGTTACATGTTTTTAGCAACTGTGATTGCAGTTAAATTGCTTGAAAATGGTTAGAAGTCTTGACCTTGAACAGCACCGACAATTTCATTGGCTCATAAGAGAATTTTTACAAGATTAATATTGATATTGATACGTAGTATTTACTCGTACGTATTGTGAAGAAACTTCTTTAGCGACGCTGGTTACAACGCAAAACTGCACAAAAATGCTTTGAAATGTTACTTTTGTTGTACAGATTGCATATTTTTGCATCAGACCAAAAAAAGAAGAGAGAAAAAAAAGTTTTTGCTTTTTTTAGCAACTTTTTAGCAACTTTCGTTACAAAAAGCAACTTTTGACTTTTTTTGGAGCAACTTTTGAACAACTTTTTGAGAAATTTCGGGTAACTTTTTGGAGAATCTCGAGTAACTTGTGACAAGCCCTAAATTCCTTACCCTTGTCCCTCACGATTGCACTTCGTGCGCATGCACCATTCACCTTTTCGCAATGCACTTGTTACCTCGATCTGGTGGTTGGTGCCAAATGGTTGAAACTTAGACTGACCTGAAGTGAGCCTGAGATTTTATGAAGGAATAGCATATGAAATATCAAAAAAGGTTGAGAACATTAATATTTTGCTGAGGCAAGAACTTCCCAATGGATATGTCGGAGATATCAGCGGAAGTTATGAAGAAAACACAGAACACCCATAATCCTGAGTGCCCAGGACTGGCTATGAAGCAGGCATCATGACAAGGACTTGAAAAAGAAACACTAAAAGCCAATGGATGGGTTTAGTTCGAGAAGACAAAAGGATTCGACAAGAATAAAGTGTGCTTACAAGACTTCTTTCCCAGCTTTCTTGAGTTTATCTTGTTTCTCAGAACGCTGGGAAAAAGTCCTCACTTTTTTCTAAAAGTAGCACTCTATTTTGTGGTTACTGAAGCTGAAAAAAATTCTTAGCGTTCCAAGCCACTCATCGTTACCCCTTTTAACATGTTATAGGAACACTTGCGACATTTGAACTGTTGACTTCAATGAGAGCCAGTTGTATTGCAACGGCAATACAACTTGTCAGCAAACCACAAAGGATCATAGAATACACACACGACAAACGAATGATTGTTTGATCAAGTTCAAATACAGAGGGGGGCATCAGAGGTGATGCTTTTTTTTTTTTTTTTTTTTTGCATGTTATTGTGTAAGTAGGAAAGAAGGACAAACAGTCTTCGGATAAAAGGTGGGGCTTACTTAATAACTTAAGCTAACATATCTGTAAAGCTGAGCAACCTTCAAAGTATACAGTTCAGGTCAAGTAAGCTTTGGTAAACGGTTTACATTTTAAAGCTCAGTCTTTGAATACAATCCAAAACTTATTTGTGGGTTACGCCTTTCGATTTGTACTTTGCCTATCATGAACTAAGCAATATTTCTCACTGGCTGGCTCCTTTAAAAGCGTTTAGCCATGACCGTGGGTTCTCGCAGAACACTTCAACCGCCAGCGTTAATAATAAGATGATAGATTTTTTGTTTCTCGGACCGTGTAAATTATGTTAAGTCACTGTGCAAAGGCTAGTAATATTTTCAAAATCATAAAACAAACATTTCACGCTCTATTAAAGCCAATATTTACGACGTCTGCATCGCTGAGAAAGGAATTAAACGGTGACTCCCGCGCAATTGGAAAATTCCCCCCCTTTTTCCCTTTAGCGGAACCGGTGCCAGGTGCTGAAATGTAGTATGCTATCATAACACAGAATGCTTTGCAGCCATGCATCTTGTAATATAATTCCTTTCGCTAGCAAAACCTCGTGAAGATGGCTCATACAAAGACCTTTCATTTTTTCAGATGTTCGCGCGTCTCAAATAGTGTCGTTACATCTGATGCTCGGCATGTTAAGAAAGGTTCGGTGCCCCTTATGTTAAGAACATCACAGGATAGATCTGAGAATATAATGAGTTGTTTTCCACGAAGTCTCGAAGGTATTTTCCAAGCTATACTAGATAACCTATCCAAATAGTTGTTACGCTTGAAAATGGGATGAATATAGATCTATTGATGTATATTTGGAGGGGGCACGGAGGCGTGGCCAAGTCCCCTCCACAAGGACCACAAAAAATGTCAGAACCCAGTCATACTGAACACGAGACCAAGTGGTACTTGAATGTTCGGACGAGATTAAGCCCTTCTGTCAGAAATAAAAACACCAAAGAGGAGACGGTCCGGAGCCTGAGGTGAGGGGCTGCTGAGAACATAAGACAGCACTGGATTAGCATAAGCTTTCTTTCATGTTTTTCTTGAGATACATGTTTGTAAAGCATGTCATTACGAATTAACCTCTACGACATTTTAGCAAATCTTGAAGCATTTTACTGCAAAACTGGTTGGTCGTGAAGAACCCTACCGATTAAATCAGGCAAAAATATTCCAACCAATACCAATCATATTGTGTATTGTGGATTCTCGTGACTGTTCTTTTTTTCCTTGCCGCACTCTCATCGAGGTGAGAATTACGATACTAGTTACACGATGGACTTAATTGAATTTAATCTAAGCTCAGCTTGCTTTCATGAACACCACTCCTGCGAAAGACCCGTTTGGATTTTTAACTTTACAATAGTAAAGAATGTATCGACCACACAAGAATAACTGAACGCTGAACATAGTGCAAATTGTGAGCCTGCAAATTCACAAGGCATTCTTTCGGCCGAGGCAACCAAAGAAAAGTTATCGCTATTCATAGTTGAGGTTAGATATGATAATGTATTTGTATTTGTATTTACGAATATTTATATAGGATAGCCCAGTTCAGCTAATAGCTGGTTTAAATGGGGCCCTGTCACACCCACCCATCCCATCCCAGGGGGACATCCATCACACAGTAATCTCGTGCGTGGGAAATGAACGCCTCCTACCCCTTGCCCTGCAGGAGACGGGGCCTATGGTTTATTCGTCCTTATCCGCGAAGACTAGAATATCTATCCATTTCTTGATATTATAGAAAGGTAGCAAATTCTCCTCAGTTATTTTAAGATCATGAGTATTGGTCCGGCCGGGGCTCGAACCCTCGACCTCCCGCACAACACAATCCGGCGCTCTAACCAACAGAGCTAACCGGGGGACGGTACAATGGTAATAATGGTAAAAATATCCGATTCTACCTTGTATAGATACTAGAAACCATCACAATAATTTTATAGATTATATTCTAATTCGCTACCTCGCTCAAACGAATGTAAAACGTTTATCATTCAATGAGCAACCCCAATTGGGGTGTGTCAACAAGAGCCGTATGCGACCCTCTTTATTATGCCTTCATCGACAAAATGGATAGGGATGGTACATCAACAGAATGAAAACTCGGAAATGTAAAAAAATACAGCAAAAATACAAAATAAATACAGCAAGAAAAACCACCCTACAAAACAATCTAAACTATATTTGTATAAGCAAAAACTACTTGTAAGAGAAACTGATAACCCCTAGTCACTGGGTATTTAATTTTGAGGGTGTAGGGACGGTCGTAAGACGCGAATGAATATAAATGACAACAACTCGAATAGATAGCCTACCGCTAATGAAGCAATTGTAACAACATACCATGTATCACCCCCAAAGAAAGGGTTGTGTAACTGTGATAAATACATTTCTAAACAATTCATTAAAAAAGAAACATTCGCAAGATCTGTCTTGTGCATGTGAATGAGAGCAGACGTAATGATTACAAACAATTTGTATATTTAACCGGGTGCTGCTTCTGATGATTAGCGGAAATCTTAACACATATCCTGCTTAGCTACCGCCAGTGGGGTGATAATTACTACTACAAGGACACGAATCACGCAAAACAATAAGCGATCAATAATTTATTAACACGCATCGAAATTTGTGCTAATTGTTTCCAGATGCACTGTCTACTTTACTCGCTACGAAAGCAAAGTGTCGTTCTCATGCTCAAATGTTCAGTGGATCTTGCATGTGTTAGTACGTGATTGCCCGTAATCTTTCAGTGCTACGTTTCCGTTTTCAAGCTAAATATTTGTGAAAACTTACTTATTTACGCTTGTGTATCTGCTGACAAATCTTTTAAGCTGAAATGTACGATCTATCTCGCCAACATATCACAAAATAACTGGTGTAAGGAAAAGCTGCCTCTGACATATCCTAGGACCGGAGACAGATTTCGTTAGTTGGCGGATTTCTACCCAGATACAACTGGAAGCTGGTGAGTCTTGCAATTTTATTTTGGTGAAATGCTATGAAACTGCTGTTCCCGAGGTTCGTTTGCATTGATGGATAGATTTAACAGATATGTTAAAGTTATCAAATATGAGTTTACCAGCTGAGCTTACGTTCAGATGATGGTTGCAAACCGAAGTGCATTTTGCGAGTATTTTAACGTTACAAACCTCTTTCAAATGGTATGGTTACAAGTTCGACCTGCTAAACCGAACTGAATTTCGTGGTTTGCTACCGTGCTTAAAAACTTAACCTAAAACTTAAATATGATAAAAAATGAAATTCCCAAGTTGTGCGTCCTTTTGAAAGGCAGCCTTCTAAAATTATTTTCGGTTGGGTCATGTACCTTTCTGGTCGTCAAGCCCAATAAAGACCGCAGAATTCTACAACAGATACTTGAAAATATGTGTGTTTGCTC